ACCACGGTCCAAAAATCGTTCTCTAGGAATATACCTTTAATTACACATTTAAGAACCTTCAAGGATAAAAGTTTAAAGTATTTTAAATCAGAAGTAAAAAATAAAAATAAAGGAAATGGTTCCATAGAAATATTTTGATGAAAGGAAGGTCGTCTTATTTTAGAAAAAATAGAAAGTCGGTGAAGCTAAAAAGTTTTAATTTGATCATAAAGTTAACAAAATACGTTAAACGCACATTTTTTTAATAAATAAAATAATATACAATAAATTGTAACAAATGAACCAAAAATGGAGCGTGGAAAATGGTAAAAAAAAAACAAAGACGATAAACCACTTTAAGTTTTATGAGTTTTTATAAACAGAAATATTTCAATGCCGCGTTTTATTTTTTATCAGCATGTTTTTGTTATTCCAAAACTGCACTAAAGGATCCTAGGACTTAAAACGGACTGTTTTGTCCTGAATAAGAAGTCGTAACGACCGGAAATCCGATCTATTACCGTTATTGTAAAAAACGCCCACTGGTACCGACCAGACCGGAATTTTGTATCAGTATTTCAACGACCGGTGGCGCGGTAGAATGACAACCGGCGACCGCTTGTCCAAAGCTAAATATTCATAAGATGAGGCCGGTTAATCTCTACGATCGGAATACCACTAATTAACTGAACTCAAATAATTGACCATCGGCCATTCATATCGATTAATTGATTTTTGCCGCGTTTGTATTCCAAATGTATGCAACCGGCCCCCCCCCGGATATTAACTGGAAACATATTTTTATACACTGGGGATGGGAAATGTTTTAAAAGTGGGGGATTGCTTTTTAAGAAAATATATATCCCGCATAAAATGTCATTATAATACAGTGAGAACCAGATAACTCTGGAATAAAAAGACGACCTTGAAGCAATAATTAACTTTATTTGATGGTATTAAAAAGCAACTAGTTTCACAAGATAATTAGTAAATCACTTATTGAGTGAAATGGGGGTTGTTACACTGCACATTTGATGTCTCTCATGTTCATTAGACTATTTTAAGAGAAAATAATTTGAGTCTTAAACTTGTCTTTATATTCTGGATCTCACTGTAAGTGTAGAGAATGTAACATGCTGTTACTTCCAGCAACAACTTAGCAAGTACTAGAAAATAAATTTCCTTGGAAGCCAAACGATGTCAAGGGGAAAAAAATATGAAAAATAAGCTAAACAGCTTGTGGTTTGGGTCTGTCAACGAGAACGCTTTTAATACCCAGTAGANCCTCCCTATCAATTTTGTGCATGAAACTATTTTTCAACTTGAATTATTTTTATATTTTTCAGGGCTAAGTTAGATTATGACAATTTCTGTGCCAACCGCTGCGGCTAGGGGCCGAGCACCGCGACCAGGGCAGGCCAGGGGGCCTGACGCTAAGGCCGAATGTTACATAGATGATACATTTACAAATCGATGGAAGGGTTGGGAGGGCGGGGTCCAAGCAGCGTTCTCTATGAATAGGAAATTAATGTTTACATAAGTCCTTCTCACATAACATGATCAAAGTAATTTCCCAAAGCGGTGCCAAAACTAGACAGAAGAATATGGTCAAGTTCATGCAACATCATTAGTACGATTTTGTGACCTAGTATCTCCTTCAGCTTTGATTGGACGCACAAGTACAAGTAAATCAAACTAATCTGGTTACATTTGAGAAATTTAAAACATTTTTTTTCTTCTCATTTGCTCTTTAAATGGAGGAGTTATAATTGATTGGAAACATATAATATAAGATTTCAATCTTATGTGCATAATACTTTAGAATGTCGTGGCATGGGACGCTCCGTAACGCTCGGCTCAATAATAGTCCTTACGTAACTAACCTGTCACGAATTATATGGAGATAAATAATCATAATTTTCTGTATAAAAATACTTGAAATCAAAGTCATACAAAATTGCTAAGAGGGGGAGGGATTCCGAAAAGCCTTGTTGCGTGATGAACATTGAACACGCCTTTTCGTCCAAAACTAAACCAGTTATCGAATCTAAAATCGTAAACAAGTGGATACGTTATTCTCAAACAGAGTAAAATGTGTTTTAAAAAACATATCATTCTTTGTAATTTTATGTTTAGAAAAATCCTGCTTCTTCTCCTCGATCTAGATTATTAACTCAACAAAAAAGATTATTTTCACTTTCAAATTTATACGATTTTCACAAATTTTCTGCAAATGTTAAATATTATTAATTTTTCTTCCCGTACACTAACAAAATGCTCAAACTGGAGTACTTATTTTATTAGGGTCTGTCCTAGAGAACGANATACTAACAGTGCAAAATTATACAGTGTCCGTTATTTCTCTAAAGTATGAACAGAGCCCTGTCTAAAGACGTACTTTGGGGGATGATAGTTTGGCCGCTAGATGGCTCATGCTTAATTCTTATCCGGTAGATAGATAATTTGCACGTACATTAACGGAGACGTCATCTGAGCGATGTATGTTATAGAAATAACGGACTTAGCTGTCAAAATAGTGAATCTTGTCCGGACTACATGAAGAACATGAGTCGGCGGTTCGCGTTAACGATGTATACTGTCTAGTTGATCTGTGCAATATCTATTCTGTACGAACCATCTAGAATAAGCCAGAACTTTTTCAGCTTTATCTTGCCGTAAGAATTGGCCCCTCCCCTTAGTCTATTCTCGCGCCGCAGTCTGCTCTAGCCGCGAGCGCTTAACGCTGAAATTTTGTTTACTTGACTTAAAAAATCCATTCAGAGTTAAAAAATGTCGGATACAGAAGATGAAAAAAAGAAATTACCTTTCCATGAGATGGAGTTGGATGAAAGGATTCTGAAAGCTATCGCTAAACTTGGTTGGATTGATCCCACTCTTATTCAGGTCAAGTAATTTTATTTTGCAATCATGAAATACCGGACATCAAAAGGTAAGTTTTTTATTCTTATCCAATACTCTCCCTCAAATANTCATTTATTAGTCGAAATTCAGCAAAGAAACCCGTAATAAACCTTGTCAGAAGTCTGCTTTTAAGTTTAAATGGAGGGAATGATAAAGAGAAAGAACTGGTACAAATGAAATATCGCGCACCCCTAAGTGCATTGACCCCAAACACCCACACACAAAAAAAAATTCTTGTTAAAAACCTAGTGTGGCTTTTTTTAAACTTTTTTTTCCAGTCCAAATTTGTTAGCTTTTACTTCGATTCCATTTCCTATCATCATTTTCACCTAGCCGATTAACTTCCTTTTATCAGTCTTAATTTGCTTTAAAGTTTTTGTAAAGAATTAGTTTCTTTCAGGTGTCTTGTTTAGGGCCTATCTTTTATCGGAAACATGGGCCCTGGCAATGAAGTACAATTTTTTTTACGGTAGATATATTTGCAGGAGCGTGGTATTCCGTTGCTTCTTGAAGGAAGGGATCTGCTGGCAAGAGGTAGAACTGGATCTGGCAAAACCGGAGCCTTTTCCATTCCTCTTATTCAGAGAATACTAAGGATAAAGGTGAACTGATTTTCATAAAAACACTTTTACAGATTTTACAAATTTTTATTTAAGTCGAACAAGACATTTTTTAATTAAATTTCCTTCTCGATGCATTTTAAATCAAATATTTTCAAATCAGGAAAGGCAACGTTATAAAGTTTAAATTATATATATGTATATATATATATATATATATATATATATTTAAATCATAACGAAAATGAAGATTGACTTTTAATTATTTGCGCAATAATCTGGTTTTTGATAGTGTGAACAATCTCTTATATGTATCTTAATTATACAGGACTAAACCAAATCTATATAATAAAACAAGACTTTCATATATATGTTCTCTATAGTCGGCCAAACGGCTGGACCAAATGGGCTGACATTTTTTGTGGACACTCATGGGTAGCCTGGGAGTGACATATGCTAAAAAATTGAATTTATGTTCTTCTAGTTTTTTTCCCATGGACTCTTCAGCTAGTATGATATTAATTTCTAAAAAGCTCTTGTTTAGGGTCGGCAGGATATTACTGTAAATCAAGCTGTGCGTGGTGTAGTACTTTGCCCTAGTAGAGAATTATCAAGGTAAAACCAGGGAACTGGTTTTAAAGGGGATTTTATTTTTTTTTATTTTGTCCCGCTCATTACATTGTTTTTTTTTTCTCTAACCCTTTATTTAGCAGTAAGCCATAAGAGGATTCCGTTAAACTTTTTCTAACCTAAAAATATGCTAAATTATTTCAGGATGTATTTAAAACGGAAGGGAAAGTACCTAGAAATTTGTCCTATAAAATAATAGCTCATTTTTCAATATCTCAAACACTTATGTTTTTAGCCATAAAGCGGTGAAAATAGTTAATTTAGATTTAATATTAAATTAAATATTAAATATTTAGGCAAACCACTCAAGTTTTGACAGACCTTGCAAATTCTTGTGTAGGAGTTATCAGGTAATTAATTTATCTACTTTATACTCTTTACCATGATCTTTTAGAGGTACATGACCCCCCCCCCCCTGATTTTCGATGCTCCACCAATTTTTTTGCACACTTTTTATATCCATTAAGTTATAAAAAAAAATTCTGAAATATTACACTACGCACAAATAAACTACTCTGTAACATATTACAGTAATAAACTGGATTATTTAGTGCTGGGGTTTCTCCTTTCCTTTCTTCTACTATTCACCCTACTATGCCGGTTCTTAAAATTCACCACTTATTGCTTCCTTTCTTCTTTTTTCTTTTCTTTTTTTAAAAGTATTTTTTGCTTTGTGTTATGTGTTAGTTATTTGTCAATTTTTAAAAATTAAAAGTATATATAAACTTTGAAGGGTCAGGCAATCAAAACAACCCTGGCTGGTTATCATTAAATTATCAAATTTAAAACGTATTTATTATAATTTTAGCCGAAATATATCTATCTATATATCTAAACCCAACATTTGGGGAGTAAAATGATTTTTAAGAGGTGGAGGGGAGTTATTTCTTTAGAATCGAAACATATGTCCCTGGGATCTTTTTCTTTTGAACAATCATTCTTGAGTTTTTTTAATGATCGTTTTTTGTTAGAATTCTTGATATTGGATCAAAAGAGGTTTCTGCTGTCAAACCACTGCTTAGAGATCTACCAGATATATTGGTTGGTACTCCTGGTAGACTTGCACAACATCTCAGGTAGATATGTACTCCTGGTAGACTTGCACAACATCTCAGGTAGATATGTACTCCTGGTAGACTTGCACAACATCTCAGGTAGATATTGTACTCCTGGTAGACTTGCACAACATCTCAGGTAGATTTGTACTCCTGGTAGACTTGCACAACATCTCAGGTAGATATTGTACTCCTGGTAGACTTGCACAGCATCTCAGGTATATTTTTACTCGATCTTGATAGACTTGCAAAAGATTTAAGTTAGATTGTAGTCTTTTACAACTGATAAGGTAGATAATGTACTTTTTGGGTCTACTGATAACAAAAAGTTAAAGGAATCATTTCTTATTATTTGGTTTAAAATATTTCTTTAACACTTGCTAATTGTTTGACCGAAATAAAAAAAAAAATTAAAGAAAATATTGCTTATTTTAATGCTGAAACTTTGTGAACCATTCAGAGATTACGTAGTTTTTAAACTTTACTCACTAGTTCAGATTTGTGTATTGAGACTAAAAAGTTAATTTTTAGCAGATTATATTTGGTATTTTGCCCCGTGGATTAAGATCTATTTGTCTGCATATTTCGGTATATCCGGATCATCCGGATCCAGTAAGCCAAAATGTTACGGATCCAACGGATCCGGATTCTAAGCACCAAAAGAGATATTAGCATAAATTTTGTTCAGGGAGAAGAATGTTGACCTCTCTAGTTCCCTCGAGATCATGGTGATTGATGAGGCCGACCTCATATTTTCATTTGGGTTCGAGGCTGATATCAGGTTTATCCTGGAACAGGTTCCACCAATCTACCAGGTAAACAGTTTAAATCAGGGGTCTACATCTTTTAATTATCCAACTAATTTTGTGAGATTCATTTTGTGTGATTATATTTTCATGTAAATTTTGAGCAATGTGCTAGATCAGAAACTTGGGTTACCTTTGAATAATTTTGAAGATTTTAATGTTTCTCAATAGTTGACGCTAAAGAGTAATAAGTTGTTTTTCGATATTTTCCTCCTCTTGGATAAACCTGGTTACAATCGGTTTTTTGTACACAATAACCTCTAATATACCTACAGGCTGTGTTAACGAGTGCTACTCTATCTGAAGATGTTGAAAAATTGAAGAAATTGGTTTTAAATAATCCTGTTATTTTAAAACTATCTGAACCAGATTTACCAGACTCTAGCCAGCTAACACAGGTAATCAGATATACCAGACTCTAGCCAGCTAACAAAAGTAACCAGATATACCAGACTCTATCCAGCTAACACAGGTAACCAGATATACCAGACTCTAGGCAGCTACAGCTAACACAGGTAACCAGATATATATCAGACTCAAGTCAACTAACACAGGTAATCAGATATATACCAGACTCAAGTCAGCTAACACTGGTAATCAGATATACCAGACATCACTTAATGAATAGATGGATATAATGTGATCACTGATTACCTAAGTTGCAACAATTTCCGAAGCTGGACTGATCACAATAGCTGTAACGACCAGCCCTATTGTATCCAAGCTGTGGGCCTCGGACGCGAACATGTCTTGCCTAACTTTACTTGAAATTAAGCCTTTCTCCATTAAGCCTAAATTTGTAATTGTACGTTTGTCACGTGATTGCATGTGCATTGTGCATTGTGCAAAAGGCAAGTTTTTTTGTTCTTCCCTTGTACTTTTTACCCAGAATTTTATTTATTTTCCAATAAAAATCCTTATATATCCGGCCCCCAATTCAGAAAAAAACGCTAAAAATGTTAACCTAGCTTCTGGGCCGAAAAAAAAAGATTTAAAATTTTGGGAATATACATCCCTTGCTTTAACACTTTTTTACTTGTTGTAGTACGTGTTCAAGCTGGAGGAGGAGGAGAAGTACGTCCTAATCTACGCTCTCTTTAAGCTCGAACTCATCAGGGGAAAAACAATCATTTTTGTCTCAACAGTGGACAGGTGTTACAAGGTGAGATTAATTAATTGGTTGATTGATTGATTCATTCATTCATTGTCTGATCAGTGATTCATAATTTGATTTATTGTCTCATTACTTGACAGAAGATTAGATGATTGACGCTTTTATTGATTTTTCATTTGTGAAGAACTTTTTTTTACAATAGAAATAAAGAACTTTTTGTTGCCCTATTTAACCCTATTTAAACTGCATCTACGCGGTTTAAATTCGGTCTCTAAAGTAACCTTTATACCTCATTATGACCTAGAATTTAAGTTTTAAAGAGACTGATTTTTTTATGATTCGAGTCGTGTATTGCAACTTTCTGAATTTGTATGAACGATACGTTCTTGGGTACAAGTCGTTTTGACAACTTTCTCCTTGTAGACGCAATAGATAGAAGTAAGATTAGTAGCGATCAAAAGCGATTATTTTTCGCCGTATGTCTGTACCCCTTTCGCGAACACTCCCTTTAAAAGTACGGATTAATTGATTATTTAAGTTAATGCGCTTTCATTAGTGAGAGAAACAGATCAAATAACTAGATTTTTGATTGATTTGATAAACTTAATCCTGAAATAGTTAAACTTTTTGGATAGATTGATCGATTGATCTAATTGATTAATTGATATATTTAATTGAATAATTGATTATAAGTATTAAGTGTGTATTTTTTTTATTAAGATGAAGCTGTACCTGGAACAGTTTAATATTCCATGCTGTGTTCTTAACTCCGAGCTTCCAGCAGCCTCCAGGTATTAAATCCACATTTTATTATTCGCAAATTTCCATTAGTCCTCGATCCCATTCTCTTTTTATACCTTTATCATTTACATTCCTCCATTTTTTATATTTTATATTTATATTTATATTTTATATTTGAGAAATAAATTGAAAATTTAATTTTCTTCTTTATATGTTTCCAATGTGCTTGTGCACAGTTTAGGACAATTACAATTACTATGAATACTCAAACTCATAGTTCCTCCCGCCGTTCACCCCGGTTGAGGCAAATCGGTCAAGGGTTACATGAGTTATGATCGGACATAAACAAACAAGATTAATGCTTGATATACATAGATGACGGTGAGAACGGTGTAGGGAAGAGTAAGAAGAAGGAGAAGAAGGTGGATAAAGACAAGGAAGCAAGTAAACGAGTTAAAGATAAAGAGAGTGGTGTAGCACGAGGAATAGATTTTCAGTTTGTGTCTAATGTTGTCAACTTCGATTTTCCAAAGGTATTTTATTTTTAAACTAGACATCAGATCAGGGGGAAAATATTTTCAACTAGACATCAGATCAGGGGGAAAATATTTTAAACTAGACATCAGATCAGGGGGAAAATATTTTAAAATTCCTTTAGTCTAAAATGTTTTTCTACTTTTATTATTTCCTTGTCCTTTTTTTATAAATATTTGTCTATTTGCTTTTACTTTTCTTGCATTGTTAATGTTTCTTTTTATGCCTATTCATGACCCCCTATCCAGTCCGCTCTACCATTTAAACTATTTTTTTTTAACTGGAATAGTCTCTCTTTAGTTTGATTTGATAGAACTTGATTTAGTTCCTCTAATGTCGACATTTTTTGTTTCCTTTTTTGCTCGGATTAAAGTATTTGCTAGAACTCCAGGAAGTTTAAAATCGTGGAATACTTTTTAGAACTCTGACAGTTACGTACACCGTGTTGGTAGAACAGCGAGGGCGGGACAAATTGGGACCGCCCTCAGTCTGGTGGCCGCCAAGGAGATGGATCAGCTGAAAGAGGTGGAGGATAGACTCCAGCAGGTCGCAGGAGGAGAAGCACTCCGTCCATATCAGGTTCAAAACTAAACGGATTCTCATCGTAAGGTCGTCTAAGCGTATTTTTAAATTTTTATCAAGGTATTGATGATTGAGATATATTCGTTTTTCTACCAATTGATCATCTTTTTTCGTGGTTTTTCTGGTTCAGACAACTTGTGATTTAATTGCGAATTTTATTTTATTCAAGATAAAAACGAAAAATAATTCACTGGTACGTTTTTAATGGTCGACTTCAATAAACTGGGCAACGAAAATTCGTTTCCTCAGCCAAAAGTTTCGAAATTGTTTAGAAAAGATGAATTTTTTTATGAAGGTCTAAAAATATTAAAGGTTTTAAAAACGACCAAAACGTCAGGTATCGTTTTCTTTTTGGGTTTTACTTTTACGCTTATTTTTATTTGAATTGTTATTGTATTTTTAATTCAAAGATATTAATTTTTCTTAAATAGTTTAAGATGGAGGAATTGGACGGGTTTAAATATAGAGCCAGAGATGCATGGAGAGCGGTAACTAAGGTTAAATTTCTTTTTTAATCTATGGACACGTTTTAATTATAATACCTTGCTTTGTTTTTGATTAAGTAAAGTCATCTCAATTTTGGAGTGTGGTCAGCAGGACAACCTGACATCGGATTTGATTTGACTTGATTTTTATCAAAAAAAATCAGAAGTAAATTCAATAACTGACACAGCACTTTTGAGATTGAATTGAAGAATTGTCGAATTCGAACTGAATTTTGTTATATAAAGGTTGCAGAATGCAAGGCCAGATTAAACAAGAATTGTTAAATTTGAGCTAAATTTTGTTATATAAAGGTTGAAGTACTCGAGGCCAGATTGAAGGAGATTAAACAAGGATTGTTAAATTTGAACTACATTTTGTTATGAACGGGTTACAGTACGCGAGGCTAGATTGAAGAAGATAAAACAAGAATTGTTGAATTCGAACTAAATTTTGTTATGTACAGGTTACAGTACGAGAGGCTAGATTTAAGAAAAACGAGAATTTTTGAATTCTAACTAAATTTTGTTATGTACAGGTTGCAGTACGCGAGGCTAGATTGAAGGAGATAAAACAAGAATTGTTGAATTCGAACTAAATTTTGTTATGTACAGGTTGCAGTACGCGAGGCTAGATTGAAGGAGATAAAACAAGAATTGTTGAATTCGAACAAACTAATTTCATACTTTGAAGATAATCCCAGAGATCGACAGATACTTAGACACGACAAGGTGATAATATACAGTATACACATTATCTATTGAGGTTGCTTCAAGGAGAATAGAAGGGGTTGGACGTTCTGCCTCACCATATTATTATTCATGATTTGGAGACTAGTACTCCGTTTGGAAAGAAATTCTTTGAAGGTCGTCTTTTTCATTTAAGTGTGTTTTTTAAACTTTCTTAACTTCTAAAAAATACCTTTGTCTTGCCAATATTTTTGCATCCCAAACATGTCTTTTGAGTTATTCTACCTAATTTTCTTCCTGCATACAAAAAATTAGCAAAAAAAAGTTATTTTTGAATGAAATAAAGTTGACTTTATAAACGTAGTAAAGTAGAAACCCACTTCAAAAAGAAAGAAAGACTACATTAAAAAATGTTCTTTTCCATATAAAGTAGAATTCTGCAGGCGGAATAGATCGACTCCTTCTCCATTGTATCATATTCTCCTTGGGTTGCTTCCTTTGTCTGCATTTTCAATTTTTTTTATTAATCATAGTGTACACTGTACAAAATAGGCAACCTTACAAATGACCAAGTTTGTACACTACACATAAAGATGGTCTGTGGTAACCTCAGCGCTCGGCTAATTAGTAGAGTATTATATTCGACGTATAAAAATCCGTAAGGTGTTGGCCCGTAAACGTTTTCTTTGAAATCACTTTTAAAATTATTTTAACTTTTCTAATGTTTTTATTTTTTATAGAATCTTCATATTGTGAAGCAGCAAGAGCATCTGAGGAATGTTCCGGAGTACATCATACCGGAGACCCTCCGGAGTATGACGGGAGGAGGAGGACGGAAGAAGAAGAAAAATCATCCTCAAATCTCCGATGTTCAGAAGAAATTTAACAAGAGGAAAGCAGATCCTCTCGACTTTGGGGTCAAACGAAAAAAGTGATTTTTTTTATTTTCAAAATTTTTATTTTCAGAGAAAAAATGGAGGTGGTTGAGAAACATTTAGTGGAACAATTTGATATGTTTTCCCTTGGGAAAGATTTACTCCAAGGGAACTTTGAAGAAACTCAGGTCATTCATTTAGATTGAAGTTTTTCCTATTCAGGAATTGTGAATGTCCTAAAAGGATATTTAAAAAAAAAATATATAAAAAATAATTTTTTAAATCTCTATTTTGAAGAAGTATTTTTGTTTCCATTATTTGGGGGGGGGGGGGGGGCAAGTATTTCTAACCTGAAACATTTTACCCTTAGATCCATTTATTTTTTCCTCAAATTCATTTAACTTTCATAATTCAGCGAAAATAACCCAACTTATTATTTTTAAACGTTAATTTGTTGGAGAAAATAATCCTGTATTCAAAGTCGGATATGATGAACTAACCGACGTAACAGGAAAAATTTCTGTAGGATGAATGAAAATGTGTACTGCAGGAAGTACTGCTGGATATATGGAGCACAATGGAAACTATGAGAGAGAATATAAAATCTAAACGGGAATTAATCTCTCAGATGAAAAAACAACTCGAAGCAACTAAAAGGTATTTCAGAAGAGGAAAGTAATGAAGAATTATTTTTAGGTTTTTTTATTCCATTGTTTTCAGCAATTGTCTAGATGACGAATGACGATTACTATATGCAATAAAAGAATATTTTGGAGCGAAAGAATATTTTTCAATAACATTAAAACTTTTTTATTTTCAAAGCTGCTAAATAATCCAGGTACCAACCTTATTTGATTTCTAATTTAATTTAGCTGACGAATCTACACCTACCCCCCCCCCCCCCCCCC